CATAAGGTCCTACGATTTCTCAATCGCTACAACAATGCTATCGAATATTATTGTCAAAGAGCGCAAGATTTTTGCGACAACGTATTGTTTCATAATAATTTCTCCGCACTGATTTACTTGATTTATCAACTGAGTAATTCTCATTATAAAATTATTGATTTTCTCATTCTCCCTCATTTGAATCAACTGAAGCTGTCTTTTGTGAGTTTGTAACCTCATAATCTTTGCCTTGTCAGCCTTTGCTTCGATGATTCACAATCACCAACTTTCTCAAGTTGTCTGTATTCATACATTGATGGATCAAAAACAATGTCTCGAAAATTTTCTCCTTTTCTTCCTTATGTGTTGCTCATTGTGCATCTGTTGCACCTTCGACAATAGGACTCACATCGTTCTTGATCACTTCAAGAACATCTTGGTAGCCAAACAACACCTTCATTTGTTTACACCATTTATCGTTGTTCTTCGCATCAAAGATGAATAAGTTTGTAGGTATTCTTTCATTGAAGACTGAATTCATGTTGCACACTAAGTGTTTGGTGGATTGAACCAGACTTTTGAAGCCAAATGTTAGAACTTGGAACCACAAGGTTGGTAACCCATAAATCTATTTATATAAATATAAATGATAACATTATATTATTAATAGTATTAAAATTTTTATATTATAATTAAAATCTATTTGTAAATCGTGACATATTTAAGTTTAACGTTAAATATATGTCATCCTCTGCCAATGTAGCAAGTTTTGATTTATCCTTTATAAGATTTTTTTTGCGATTCCCCCTTACCAAATCAAGATTCCTTCAATAAAGACCATAGGGTCACATTTTCGCTCAAAATACGTGGCATTAAGTAACTTACTAACTGTGTATTTAGTATTTTATTTAAAACAAAAAAGAACTTACAATTTAGTCAGTTTCTTATTTACCCCCGTGAAAACCTAGGGCTCACACACAATTGTTCATTTCACCCAAAATAGGAATCGGAGAAGACGAAGTTACGGTGCAGTCACGGTGGAGCAAAGCGAAGGACGATCTCCATCATGAAAATGACGCAAACGAATCGCAAATGTCACATGTTTTTTTGGAAGTTTCGTTTAAACGCCGCTCTTAACTTTTTTCACACTGTACTTTGGTTTGAAGTTTCTGTTATCTGTAATTTCAGAATATGCAAGTGTTTAATGTTGTATTTCACTATGGAGGGGAATTTGTAAGGTTGATTGATGGTGATACAATATACAGGGGTGGTGTTTCGTCCATAGTGTCTAGGAAACTCATGGATAAGTGGTCAATGTTTAACATTCATAAGTTGATAGATGGATGGGGTTACATAGAAGGGACGTACAAAACGTGGACCAAAATTCTTGACATAAATGAAAACTTTTTCCAGATTAGGAATAATGATGATGCTTACAATTTTGCTGCATACACTTGTACGACCTAAGTAGATGGGGAAATGTTTGTGGAGCATGATGTCACTGGTATAGAAGTCATAGTAAAAAGTCTTAGGTGTGTGAATGAGATGGTAGAGTTAGATGGATGTGATGATGAGGGAGTTTGAGGGTTTAATGATAACAAGGATGAAAGAACCACTTCTATTGCATATGGATTTAATGGAATTGATGTTTCTCTACCCATTAATGAGGGTACCATAGTTGGTGGATTGCTAACTGATTCCAAAAATAAAAAAAATAGGAAAATGATGAATATGTTAGTGAAGAGATAGACAACTCTAATCCATATGTTCCTGACGATGATAATGGGCCTGAGTTTGATAAGTTTAGGAAAGACCAACCGAATAAGAATTTTAAGTTTAAGTGGGGTATGCAATTCAGTTCTCTAGATGACTTCAGAAAGGAAATTCGTACAGTAACCAATTTCATCATCTCACACAAACAGGTCACAGTTATTCCCACTCTACGAACACAAATAACATTTACACACAAATATCACAGACTGAATTTTATGATGTGCAACATTATTAACTTTCTTACCCCCTGCTTACGACATCTCCAGAATTTCCTATTATGATTTTGAACAGTGTTGACGACCCGCATTTTTATTGCATGATCGCATCCACACTTGAGTAAAGATGAAAATCCAACAGAAGGTGTGCTACTGCTTCCAACCATGTTACCTTCTAAGCAAATTTGTACTAGGGAGAAGAAGAAGAAGATTGTGTACGCGAATGGAAGAAGAAGATAACGAAAAACACGAATTGAATTTGTGAGCCCTAGATTTAACAAGGGGTAAATCAAAAACTGATGCAACGTGTAAAAATTTACACAGCCAGCAAGCTACCCAATACCACACACATATTTTCATATTCTGAGCAAAAATGTGATCCTAGAGTCTTTATTGAGGGAATCTGAATTTTGTAAGGGAGAAATCACAAAAAAAAAAATCTTATAGGGATGAAATCAAAACTCACTATATTGACAGCGGATAACATATATTTTATTGAGGGAATCTGAATTTTGTAAGGGAGAAATCACAGCAACAACAAAATCTTATAGGGATGAAATCAAAACTCACTATTTTGATTTACCCCCTAGATTTAACCGGAGATAAATCAAAAACTGATGCAACGTGTAAAAGTTTACACAGCCAGCAAGCTGCCCAATGCCACATGACATATTTTCATATTCTGAGCGAAAATGTGATCCTAGAGTCTTTACTGAGGGGATTTGAATTTTGTAAGGGAGAAATCACAACAACAAAAAAAACATCTTATAGGGATGAAATCAAAACTCACTATATTGACAGGGGATAACATATATTTAACCCTTAAGTTTATTATTGATATAAGATTTGTGATATTCTTTTAAATTTATAAAAAATTTACAACATTTTTTTATAAAATTAATTTCAATTAATTTATATAAAATTTTCATGATAAATAGTGAAATTAATTTTATAACATATAATTTTTTAATAAAAATAACCTATATAAATACTTGTTTTAATAATTGTTTTTTTATAGTCTAAAAAAAGTTATTTGTTCAAACAATAAATTATATATTTGTTGAAATTTTAAAATAACTTAATCATTTTGATCCAGTTCATCTTTTTTAATTAATATTGTATATAATAATTTATATAGATTATCATATAATTTTAGATTATTTAAAAATTTATGTGACATTAGTAATTAAGAAACAGGATTTCAATGGTATTTCTTTTTGAAATATAAATTTTCACTCAGAATTAAGTATTTAACATAGTTGCACATATTGAATAGTCAATTAGCAAATAGGGTAACTCAAATGTCAAATATAACAGATACTAGCCGACGTTACGATTCTTATTTTTCAAACTGAAAAACCTCTTTTTAGTAGTATTTAACATCTCGAAACCATTACTATAAAAAAGGTACTAGTTAATTACCATAAATTATCATATTTGTTGAAACTTGTGACTATCGATCGCATGCATAGTAGAAATTGGAGCTAGAAATATTGTCATAAACATTGGGAGATTATTAGTTAAGAACATATAAACATGAGTTAACAAAAGGCAGAAGAATAATAGAGAATAAGTACAATTAGGTAGGGTGTGTCTATTTGTCTAAGAATCATTAAAATAAATCTAATGATGTGTGAGACATGCATCCAATGAGAAGTCAAAAGAAGTGTTTAGAGGTAGGTGAATATGACTAAAGCTAATTATGTTAGGGTTAGCTTTTGCCTTTTACATGTAAATAACAAAAAGGGCAGACACAAATTCTTAAAGCAAAATGAACTATAGAAAATATGCCGACATTCCTTCCGTTGGGCTATTGCACTTTTGGCATTGTTCTCAATTGGGTAATCACTTTATTTGCTACTATTATGCTCTTTTAGAATTCCAACGAAAGGTTTTACTATATACTACTACAACTTATATACTTTAGCAATTTAATGGACTCCATCCACAGCACCATGGGCAATGCCAGCAATATTTTTTTCTAGTATTTCAAGTTGAAGTTCATTCTACATATGAAACATAGTATGAACTAGTGGATGTTCCCCTCCAAAATATTGAACTCTAGATTCCATTTCTTATTCCCAGCATAGCTGAAACTGAAATTGAAGGATTCAATTCTAAGACTCCATATCCTAAGTGCATCTTTAAAAGTGGCAGCAATAGAGATATTCATGATGATTTTATTCAATCCAAATAAATAAGTTAAAATATATGCATGCGGTTTGATTTGGTTTTTATCGGCCTTAAAAATCAATTTGATCTTGATCCGAGCAATTTTCACAATGTTAGATTCAGACACATTTTATGATATTCAAATTTAGCAATTTTTTATTTTTTTTAATCGATTTGCAATTTTTATAATATTGGTTTGGTTATGATCAATACATTATATCTATACCAATCTCTATTAACAAGTGGCCAATATATGAATCTTAGGTAACCATATGTTAGATTAAAGAGAGAACCAAAGGCCACAACTAACTACCAATACAGTACTGCACAATCAATTTCTTCAAAATTGACGCCAAACAACTCTTTCATTGCAACAGAATTCTTACAAAAGATTTTAATTCTACTAAGTGGGAACCAAAACGAACAAGAAAAAAAGGTAGAAAGCATACTTACTTTGTAAACTAAAGCCCACAAAAAAGATGTAGGGATCTATCACAGATGACACCATCCAACTAAGTATAAGCATCTGCATCAGAACCACAAGTGGGAATTCGCAAACAGAACCTATATTTCCCACACACCATCAGATCAACTATGATGCAACTAGCGCAAACTTTCAGTAGCAACAAAAAACCATATATCACTACCAACTCACTTCGACCAAACTCCCTGGAGTAGGTATGCCTCCATTTTAGCATATTCTCTCCTCTCCCCAGACCAGGTTTCAGCCCTCCATTGAAACCAAGAAAAAACAAAGGACCAAGAGCACAGCAAAAAGAACGAAGAAAAAAAAGAAAGAAAACAAACGCATTGCTAGAGGCATAACCCTCATCATTCCACCACAATGATCGTGGTTAAATCCTAACCTCTAGCCAACAATACATCCAGATTACTGGAATGGGCACCGGACGTAGAATCCAATTGAGTTGTTCTTCTCATGGTTCTGTTTCCGTGATTTCTATTTTCTTCTCTAAATGGATGTCCATGGTTAGTTACCTGATGTAAATGAAGCATAGCAATCATACTAACTGCGAGCAAAGCAGCATTGCCCACTATTCCACCCATATGATCCAACCCAAGAGATTTCTTCACAAAATTAAAACTTGAGACAAAAGCATTGATGAAGATATTAGATCTCTTCCCTTTATCAGCAACAAAATTCTCAGCAGTACATTTTGGTTGTCCAAAAACATCAGGTGAAATAAGGCCGCTTGCATCCTGTACATCTCCAACAAAAGCAAGAGCTTCTTCAATGACTTTATATTTTTTACCACGGTGTTCCGACAGTCTCAGTGCGAGAACAATTCTACTCTGCTCCAGACGAGCAATTGCAACATCTCTTTCAACACGTTGCTGAGTCTGAATGGTCTACAAATCAATCAGAATGAAATTCTAATTTAGAACAAAACCATATTAAAAAAAAACAAACAAGATGGGGACGAAAAAATTCATGGTAAAGAAATCAAGCATGCAATTAACTTGTCAGTAAACCTTCTCATGTTCCAGAAGAAACTAAAGGCCAAACAATGTTGTCGGCTCATTATATGCATTAAATATCTTAAGCTTCACATAACCCAAATAATAGACATTTACATGTTACTCAATAAATCATACTTATCCCTGTTATACAGACCTGCCTTTTCATGGAACATTATTTCTTCTATTCATTATCTTTAACAACAATTGGGCCATTCATTATGAATACGAAGGCTCTATCTCATCCTGACCGTCAAAGTATTAGGGTTCTTTATGTAATACAACGGGATGTCAAACTTGATTTATTAGAAGTATTAATGGGTATAAGAATATTTGGCTTATTCACATGTTAATCTTGTAACAGTAGTATTCTCATTGAGCTTGAATTGTACTACATTGGTACTTGACTTCTATTATCAGTATAAATAGGAGTAATAGGTACACAGCTTAATTAGAATAACCAATTTCACGCAATTGCGGCACAATAACATTATCGCGGCATGGCCCCTAGTGGATACAATGCCCACCATTGTGTTGCAGTTCACAGGAGTCTGTTGCAGCCACTCTTGTGGCATAAAAAGGGAAAATTGTGGCATGGTAACGCCATCCGATGAATACAAACTGAAATTCCATAAACCGAATAGCAGTTAGCCACTAGGAATTTTAGTGGGAGTATTTTAGGGATTTCATAAGAAAATCATACTAGAACTCTTTGGTTGGACCAAGGTTCCTTTCATAGTTTCTCACTCTGCCTTTGGTTCCGGTGACCGTCTGACTATCTATGCTCTAATAGTACTGGAAATGGTAAGGAAGAAGACTTTGATTTAGAAAATGATGATCAATGATTCCAACCTAGAAAACTTTATTTGAGCTTCAATGTTCAGGTTTAGTTACTTTAAGCCTTGGAGGTTTAAACTTAGTGTATTGGTTACATTGACTTCTTAGTGTTCACTTGCAATTTCACTTGCATTTTGGCTACAGTTAGATTTGATTGGCTCTCTTACTACATGGTTTGCTGCAATCAGCTTCCATCTCTGACTGTGTTCTCTTCTTCCCTTCCTGCTACAAGTTACCAGCTGATTTGAACCATTTTCTAGCACCATGCAGCTTTCATATTCCCAACAAGTTTTCAAAGCTTTTGCGTCTCCTAAGTTCAAAAAAAATGGTCTATTGTGTATGTCATACATCTACAAAGGGCATATCAAGTGAAAACATGAGAGGTGAAAAGAGCTAATTTCACCAAATAACAATGCCTTATAATATAATAAATCTTGATCGTGCATGCAAAATTAATTGGGTGTATCTTTACTCTCTCCAGTAAAGATGGCTTCACTTCCTGCTATGTTTTAAGAAGCAAGCATTATAAGTTTGAGTTATTTTCTTTGGGGGTGTATATTTGTAATAAGCTAAGAAGAATAGTAAGCTTCATTTTAATGGTAAGTGTTGCAATATTCCATTAGTTAGATGCTGTGTAGCATTAATAGTCTTACTAGACTTAGCTTGGTCTGGTTGTTTTACGCTACTATTTAACATAGATTTATAGTATATAGTAGTATACAGTATAAAATTGAGCATTGTGTTGGCTATTGCAACATTGGCATATTTCTCCCACATTTAACATATGAAATATCACAGCTCCCACTTATCAGACAATCTTCCAATTTTCTCTATTGCCTAAAATTCATTCTTTAAAGTCGAAATCAACAATATACTAATAGTACTGTGATCTGCAAAACAGGGAAGATTGCAAGCATTTTGATCATCACAATTCATAAATTTACTGAATATACCGTTGAATCTTAAAAGGCCGACCTAATTTAGGACAAAGTTAGACTAGAAGGAAGAAACTTCTCTATTTCCTTATAACAAAATGTATAGTTCAATTAAAAAAAACAGTATTCACTCTGAAGAAGATAAAAACTTCTTTCATAACCTTTGAGAAGGACTACTATCTTTTAGAACAATACCTCACTTACTGCACATTGAAACAACGCAAGAAATGTCTTTTAATATGACTCTTCTGTTTGATAGTCAAATGCAACCTAATTAATCAAATCAGATCATATCATCAACATGTTTGCCATTTCATGATTTCATCTTTTCTTTCGTTTCTCCAGTCCATATAATCACTCCTTGGGGTCATATACTCCTGTACCAGTATTGTCCAACCCAACTAAACTGGCCTAGTACATGCACGATTATGATACCCAAACAGAATATCCCAAGTCAAAACATACGAACAATTTATAGCAAAGTCAACATTTTGTTTTGATAAGAAAACAAAATAGTATAAACTATAACCAGTATTGTCAAAGAGCTGTTATAATGTCAAAGAATTTGAACTGATGGCTATTATTCTGCAATGCCTTATTTAGAAAAATTGTCAAAAAGCAGTTACTGCAACAGACAACAGTTATAGTGATATGGCATATCGAAATTTGAACAGCTGCTATTTTTAACAATCCGCGCTCGACAACACTGACTATTATAGAATTAAGTCCTCAACCAATGCTATTTCACCCTATTAAATGACCAATTTACCAACTCATTCAAAAAGGGGAAATAATCCAACACACAAATGTAGCCTATCAATTGCGGCAAGCATTCAACAAACAAAGCAAAAATTCATATTAACATTCAATTTCATCATAATTTCAAATTACAAAATCACAGCAAACATTCAATTGAAAAAACAGATAAACATTTCGCGCCTAATTACCAATTAACCAAACCCTAGAATACAATCCCAAACAAAACGACCTAAAAAGCAATTGCACCATCAAAATCAATGCTCAAACAACAAATAATTCAAAAAAAAAAAAAAACTCACATGGAAAAACTCGAGCTGGTCTTCAAGATTCTCGAGCGCGGTTCTTATAGCATTAAGACTCTTAGCTTCGCAAACAGCGTCATCAACCTCTTCATTCTGCGGCCGAAAATCTTTCACAAAAACAAAACCGGCGCCGTCGTGTGTCGTTTCAGTGGCAACAGTGTCGTTTTTATTGCGAGAAGAGTTCGTGATAGTTTTAACCGATTCAAGAAAATGAGATCGCGAAATTGAATGAATGGCGTCGCTGAGTTTGTCGTGTAAGTCCCAGATTTTCTCGAGAATTGCTTCTATTTCTTCCATTTGCATGTTCCATTTCATTTCATCGAGAGAGAGAGAGATTGAAATTTGGATTCGTCGTCGACGCTTAAAGGTGTAATAAAGAGGAAATAGCACGTATACTTGAAAACAACGAAAAGAATTTTTGTTTTAACGTCGTTTTGTGTTGTAGAAGAAATTTTCGTATACTTTATTTTGATACATACTTTTATTATACAGCGATGGTATTTTACTTTTTTTTTATTAATGCATGTTGTTTAATTGCCAGATATGCAGTTATATTTTTTAATTAAGGTAATATTTGTGCATGGAGACGATGATAAAGAAAACTATGGTGGTTTTACTCTAAAAAAATTAATGGATATTTCAATCTACACATAAATTTATTTTACACTAGTAACTGTTTATCTAAGTTACAATTAATAATGACGTCAGTATAAAAGATTTTTGAAGAAAAAAAGACTTACGTAAAAATAATGTAATGGTAAATATATGATACTAAATTATATTAGCATAAAGGTAAGTTATGAAAAATGAGTAGAGAGAAATGGACAAGGCAAATTGAACCACAAGAAAGAATAAATAAAGTTGGCATGTCGACAAAAATAACATACTCAAAACTAAAATAATTAGAGTGACATAATAGCTACCACAAATGTGGTTTGTCACTTAGTGTGCAACTACAATGGCAAAAAAATCAGTCCCAACTGAATCTGGCCACTCTCCTTCTGAACTTAACAGAAAAAATTGATTTAATTGAGAATGGGGATTGATGTGAGAAAAACTAGGTTTTTAACTACGGATGAGAGAGATGCTACTATATGTCTCCCATCCATGGCCCTATATTAATCTATTAAATTTATTTTATATTTTTTAATTTTAATGATTTTATTATATATTTATTTTTTTAATTTTAAAATAATAAATTTATTAAAATATATTATTATTTTTTAAAATATAAATTAAATAAAATGATCAAATATGTATCATCATCGTTATTAAAATGATTATGTAATATCATATATTCCCTTAAATACTTAATTAGATGTTAATTGAAATCAACTGAGTTTTTATGTACTCTGTCTTTTGTTAGTTAGAATAATCAGAGCTATTAAGTACTGTAAATGTTATCAATTGGGACTAATTGTATAACTAGTGAACTCTAAAGAGAATCAATTATTAATAAAAGAGACAAAATATTAATAAGCATGAGAGGAGACATTTTAGTAACACTAACAATTGGTCAATTGGTGTTAGATGACAAAATATCAAACGAAGATATTTTATATCATTATAATAAATGTATTATATTTAAGAGTGGATGGAAAGAAAGAAGAAGAAAGTTAGTAAGAAGAAAAAGAAATAAAGAAAAAGAAGAGAAAGGGGGAAGAAAAGAAGAAAAACTCATGGAAGAAGAAGCTATCGATTCATCATCATCATCAACTCCATCTCATTTTCTTCACTTTCAAGGTGAGTTCCATTAGATAGTGTAGCCTTTGGGGATAAAATATGAGAACATTGGTGGATTAGGTTTTTGTGTTGAAATTGAATTGATGTTGTTTTCATGTTGTAATCGATGAATTGTGTGCTTAATAATGTTATAACATGTTTAAGTGAGTGTTTGAGTGCATTTTGGACATGTGGGTTTGGGATTTTGGCCATGGTTGCATTCAATTCATGTTCTGCAGAACCTGGGTTTCGTTCGAGTCTCCAGGCGAGCTATTTTCTAATAGTATTCCCGGACAGGCTTTGGCGAGCCTGTGGCGACCTGTTTCTGCCAGCGTCGCCAAGCGTGGTTTGACGAACAGAAAGTGAGCTGCCTCACAACCTGCTCGCCAAACGACCATGATGCAAATTTGATTCTGTTTAGGGCTCGCTTGGGAATCGCTAGGCGAAGTAGAAGCGAGCCAGACTGAAGGTGAGATAATACTTAGATGGGGGGTTGAATAAGTATGAAGATTAAAACTTAGAAATAAAAACTCAAGTATTTTTTATCCTGGTTCGTTGAACTCAACTACTTCAGTCCACCCTTCCTAGAATGATTTGCCTTTCTCAATCAAGGACTTAATCTACTATTTAATCAACTGATTACAATAGTAAGCACTAAGAACAACTGTTCAAAGTCTTCTCAAGAACTACTGATCCTAACTGGATCTTCTTAAGGTTTATAATCAAACGTAATATAAATACAAGTGTTTAAGATTGCTTCTATAAAGCTTTATCACAACTGTGATTTTTCACTTAACTATTTAGAACAAAGAAATTAATTCTTAGAAAGAATATGAATAGTATGAGAGCTTGAATGTTGATTTCTTTTTGGATAAAACGTCAACTGAAGAAATTGGTGAAGTCTTGCTTTTATAGGCAGCTGATCCAAGGTGAGCTTCACGTTGAGAAGAGTGTCCAAAAGGTCTGAGCCTTTTTTGTCTTCACATCAAGTGACCTTTCCTAGAAGAAGAAAGCACAGAAAAATCTTTTTTGTCTGTGTTCTTGTGTCTAGCATAAATAAGGAAAGAGTCGTTTGGATCATTCCAACGGATATAAACTTTGAATAATTCTTCTTCAGTTTTCAGCAAGTTCATCAGAGTCTAATTAGATCAGAGCCTTCTGATGATGATCAGAGTTTTGCTGAATCAGAGTCTTCTGCAGCAGGTGTGCTTTTAGCGTGTTTAAGATCAGAGCATATTTGAGACAGATCTTCAGTACTGGCAGCTTTAGTACTTTCAGAATCTTCTGTAGAAACTATGTTTTGAAAAACTCTTCATACATAATTCTTCTTTGGTTCAGATGCTTCTGACTTGCTTCAGATTCTTCTAGAGTTTCTGCTTCAGATTCTTCTGGAGCTTCTGCTTCAGAATCTTCTGGAGGCTACGCTCAGGATCTTCTGTTGGCAGCAATCAGAATCTTCTAATGGATGCATCTGGCGCTTCAGAGTCTAGCAAATTTCTTATGTTCAATTCTGATTTGCTTCTGGAGTGTTAATTCCTTTACTATCTGCAGTAAAAACTCTCAAGCAAATTTTAGAGTATATAATTCTTTATTACAAAATTTCATAATAGTTATCATCAAAACATAGAGATATTATTAAGAACCAATATGTGTTCTAACAATCTCCCCCTTTTTGATGATGACAAAAACATCAGAAATTTTGTTTAATTGAAAATATAATAATTATAACTCCCCCTGAGATGATGAATCTCCCCCTGAATTAAGTACAAATAAGGAATAGAAACTTCCCTTTTGTCTTGAGTATTTTTCAGAGTTAGAACTTGATTGTTCTTTAACATTTGAGAGTCAGAGTGTCTTGCAAATTTCAGAGTCAGAGTTTGATAATTGTCAAATGATCTGAAAGTCTCAGAGTTTCTTTTACAGAGTGTACTTATCAAATGTTCTGAAATACTTAGATTTAATGTTAGATAAAATAGATATGTCTGAAGTTTCATTCTGGTGAAGTTTAATTAAACAGTTCAGATCTATATTTTCTCCCCCTTTTTTGTCATAAGCAAAAAGTAAAAAAACTTTGAAAAGACAAATAAAAGGAAACAGTAAATGAGATAAATCATGGAGAAAACTTTGAAATTTCATTCAATTCAGTTCAGAGCAAGAGTACATGCATCAGAAGATATTCAAAAATACATAAGCAAACATCAGATGCAAAAACATCAGAATGAAAAAAAAATGAAAAACTAAGAGTGTTTTGAAAAAAGCATCTTCAACAGATCCGTGATCTCAGAGGAGGACTGTTCTTGCTTTGACATCCACTTAGCCATTGTTTCATTCTTCTGATCCTGTTTTGACATCCACTCAGTCATGTCTTCAGACTTTTTATCCTGTTTGGCCATCCAAGACTTGATTTCTGATTGACCAGCTTCCAGAGCAGCAATTTTATCCTCAAAATCTGGATGTTCTTTCTTTATCTCAGATGAAGAAGGTTGAGCATTTTCTGGAGCTTGAACAGAGTCAATGTCCATAGGGTCTGTAGAGCTTGGAGCATTAGAGCCAGAAGGAAGTTCTACCAGAGTCATGGCCAAAGGGTTGTCTTCAAATGCAGATTCAGTAGTTTCTTCTGATGATGGAGGAGCATCTATAAGAAGCAGTGGTCCAGATCTCTTGACAGTCCAGAACAGACTTCTTGCAGCTTCAGCAAATCCGAGCTTCGCATCATCAGAACATATGTTCTTCAGATTTGATGCTACAGTGTTGAATCTGTTGATGAATCCATTCCAGATGACATCAGATTCTTGTGCATCCATTCTTGTTGAACACTTCCTCTGTACAGTACCTAAATACAACTGTATTTCTTGCAAAAAAATTGTAAATAAATGATCAACATTAAGTCTAGGTTTGGGATGTAACAGAGTCTCCAATGTTATTGGTTTTGGTTGGGGAGTAGGTGGAAAAATGGATTTTTGAATGGAAATCAGAGGAGGAGGGTAGTATGGTATGAAGGGAATTTCAGGGGATTTGTCTGGTTTTGATCTTTTCAGAGCATTTATCAAATTTGGTTTTGCTCTGGTGTGATGGGAAACCACATCAAAGGGTTTGTTTGAGTATGATTGGAAGGCAGATTTTGCAGGTTCATCAGAAACAACAGGTTTAACAGATGAAATAGGTATAGCTGAAGTAACAGCTTTTGCAGATTTAGCAGAATATGATATTGTTGCTAATGAACCTACATCTGACATTGATTGAATATAGGTGAGAAGCACAAATGGTAGAGTGATTGTAAGTTTGGGTTTCAAGGGAGTGATAGGGTCAGATGGTTCAACTCTGTCATAGAAATCTTTGAGTTTGAAGCCATAGACAAGATTATGAAAAAAAGATGAGAATTGTGCACATGAAATAGATGTTCTTGGGGTAGATGTTGGGTTAGGGTTTGGAATGAGGATTTCAGATGATGGATTAGGTGTGGGAGTAGGATCTGGAATAGGAGCTTTGGAAGATACAGGGGGTTCTGGTTGGTTTACCTCAGAGTCTCTGTGAGAAGGAGAGATTATAAAATCTGGGTGAATGTCAGATTCTGAGGAATTTGATGAAGTGGT